CAAAAATTTAGGGACTTTATTTCAAACTTACCATCGACACTGACCCATCAACAGTGGAATGTCTTACAATGAGTTACCACAATAAATACAGCTGAATATATATATATACATATATATATATATATATGGTTTTAAAAAAAACATAACTTCCTTTAAAAAATATTTAACCTTTGAAACGTGCCACAAAACGTCAGAGTCCAGGAAGCAGTTGTGCTTCTCAGTAATAATCATTCCCACACCTTGTGTTAATCAGGTCACACACACCTGACCTCACTCTCTCTCTTCTTCCTGGGAACTGAAGCCAGCAGAACCGGACTAACTGCACCCGCCATGTTTTACTGTTGGGCACACAGTCTGTGAGGGAGGAATCTCAACCAGCTCCAAACATTTCCAACAAACAAAGAAATAAATATATTACATTTAAAAAGATATGGATACAACAAAATACACAGGTCGACCAATTAAATGTTGTCTTAATTACCTGCAGGAGACTTTCATATAGAATCTGAGAGATAAAAACATAAAAATTGGATTTTAACCAATAAGATTTTTGGCTTCAGTATAAAGCACCAGATAAACATAACTGAGTCACCAAAAAGATTCAACTCCAAACCAACAGCTGAGGTTTAGGATTTAATAAACTGATTCGAACAGTGTGAAGAAGCTAGAAAAACAAAACCCTAAAGATTACTCCCCACATGAACATTATTTCTGAACTAAAAGTAGTCAAGATGCTGCTGCAGGTAAAAGACTTCCACCTGGACTCCTCTTCATCCTCAAACAGCCTCCTGCTGCTCTTTACAGGATAAATGTTGATGCAACACAGACACCAGAGGATAAAAATGACAGATTTGTTCTCATTTTTAAATGAAACAAATTTATACACAAACAAGACATCGTGTTAAAGTAGATGAGTCTGCCGGTCCCAAATCAAGGCTCAGAAAGGCTTAACGACAGTATATCAGCTGTGATGATAAAAATACTGAACTCAGAAGAGGAACTGCTGCACCAGAAAGATCTGAAAGGTTCTGGGACATTGTCCTGATGCATTCTAATCCAGGTAGAAAAAATCCAAAAGAAAAAATCAGTAGGTCCTCTGGATGGGTTCTTCTTTAGTGAAACGTTTCGTCTCTCCTCCAAGAGACTTCTACAGTCTGATGAGCTTCAGGTGAACTCAGCCTTATAAGCACTGCCTCCACCTGGACTGATTCCTCATGTTAACCTCCTATGTCACGCAAAACCGGAAAAGCTGCGGTCGGCAAGGACGGACCCCCCGCGCATCAACATATAGACGCTTGGGCGCTCTGTGCCCAGGCATCCATACGTTACGAGTCCGACATGAGAACATGTTACATTATAACACGATATAAAACTCAAAAAAGTTGATTTTACATGATATTGCCCCTTTAACATACAGCAAGATAGATCGGGAAGTGATACTTCCCTGAGTTCTGACGCACTTTGAGAGAAAACCATTTGTCTTACAGAAAAAAATACAGAATTATTGGCTGAAAGAAGACAAAAATGCCCATGTTTTGATATATAATTTGTTTGTGTGTCATGAAAATTGCGGATGTAATAAGAAGTTGTTCGCTAAGAAATATTTTAAAAGCCAGACCGCTCTCACTCCAGGACACATGACTCAGAGGGTGGCAGATGGTAGCTGAGATCAGTGTATTCCTATAGGGTTTTTAATGGTAGTTTGTTGCAGTTTACATTGCCATGGTAACTTGCATCACCACTAAAAATAGCAAACTTCCCACCGCTGAGTCCGTCATTTTGATGTAACTTTTGTAGGGGTACAAGTTGCTGTCTGGGCCTCACAACTATAAAAGATAGAAATAAAGGAAAGAGATCCTTTGTTTGAGGTGGATAACAAAAGGTGCCCCATTCAAATAAATGGAGGTCCTCTGTTCTCATATTCATTTGTAATGGCAAGCTCTAAGGGAGAAAGGGAACAGTTCAGGATGATGGTACACCAGGTTGGACTGCATAAAGTTTAAGTTTAATGGTTCACACCTGGATCTGGACTGGACCTGGTTTCCATGATGCTCTGTAGAACTAGGGTTAAATGATGGAGATGGAAACTAGATTGAAGGAGGGTAAGGATGGAGAGGGGAGGTGGGGGTTAGGATCAGCGTTGGCCTGGCTGAGGTGTGACTTTGAACCAGGTTATAAATTAACTTAATTTGTGAGACAAATCAAATCTGAACATATGAAACAATCACATCTAATCAAAAAATAACCCCAGCACAGTTTGTTGGAGCAACTTTCAGTTTGATTCTCAGTCGAGTCCGGTGGTCCATCAGCGCCGTTGTTTCACTAAATGAAATGGTTGTTGTTTACTCAGACACTTCAGGTCCTGGAAGACCTTCTTGAAGTTCTTCCTGAACTTCACCCCAATGAAGCCGTAGACCAAGGGGTTGAGGCAGCAGTGCAGGTAGGCGATGGACTGCGTGACGGTCAGGGCGGTCTGCCAGGAGTCCGCCTCCTCACACGACAGCTGCTTGAACATGCTGACGGTGTCGCGCAGCAGGACGGAGTTGTAGGGCAGGTGACAGGTGATGAACACCACCACCACCACCATCACCACTGACACCACTTGAACCTCTTTGTTCTGGTGCAAGTTTCTGGTCTTCATCAGGGTGACGATGATGGCGGTGTAGCAGACCATCATGATGACGAGCGGCAAGAAGAAGCCGACGGCCATCTGGATGCTGGGGACAGCCACCTTAACCGTTTCAGCTGTTTCACTGTCCTCAAACTTCATCTCGCAGATGTACTGAGGAGCCGTTGAAGATGGTCCCTCGTCTTTGGTCTCCAACATGAAGACCACTCTGGTGGAGGGCTCGTACCACTGGTAAAAGACGAAGGTGGGGATGGACAGGAGCACGGCACAGACCCAGACCACGGCGCAGATGAGACGGCTGTACGACAACAGGCGTAACCGGAAGCTGCTGTGGAGGTGAATGATGGCCATGTAGCGGTCCATGCTGATGCAGGCGAGCAGCAGCATGCCGCTGTAGAGGTTCACGCTGTAGGAGCCACGCAGCAACTTACAGGCCACCTGCCCCATCGGCCACGAGTGGAGCTCGCTGTAGGCGATGAACGGCAGAGCGAAGACAAACAACAGGTCAGAGACAGCCACGTTGAGCAGGAACACATCGGTCATGGACTTGGTGTCCTTGTAGAATGCGTAAGTGATGATGACTGAGGTGTTTCCCACAAAGCCCAGGATGCAGATGATGGAGTGAACATACAAGCTGAGTACGTTCGTCACACTGTGGTTCAGGCTGAATGTGCACGGTCCGATCAGTTCACCACTTGTAAAGTCTTCATCAAACTCCCAATCGTACACAGACTGGTTCAACAGTAGAGTCTCCATTGAGGAATCTTTAGTTTCTGCAACAAACAGAAGAAAATTTGAATTAATCAAAAGGACAATGGAAGAATTGTTATTATATGCACTGATATGAGAATTTCAGCCAATATCGATATCTGATATTATTTTCGCTGTTTTGGCTGATAACCAATATTTATACAAACACAAATTATTTATATACATATACACACAAACACGTCTTTTTTCGATACCGTAAAAAACAACCATACTGCTGACATGGCTGTCTACTTCACTTATTTCTGGCTGTGCAGTGTCATTATCATGATCAAACAGATACCACTTGACTAAACATTACCCCTCCCAAAACAGAAACACAAAGCTTAAAAGTGGGAAATCAATATCTGACATTAATATCAGTTTAGTTTAACGCTGCGTTCACACCGAACACGATTTCAGTGTCAAAATCGCCTCCATTGCTTCAAGTTGGACACTTGTGCACTTTGACATCAGACGTGAGTCAAAATTGCTCTTGAAGCGCTCGACTCGCGTCGAGAGCCTCCCCGTCCCCGCCCTCCTCTGCCGGTCTCTGTTTAATGTCGGATGAAATAAAGGAAGTGGCTTTGCTTTATTTACTGAGTGCAAGAGAGCGTCGCGCTCATCAGATAGTAATTCACAATTAATTCACCAGATAATTCAGAGACGTTCTGAGTTTGGTGAGTTTCATCACCCAGGAGCTGCAAGCTGACTCGAGGTTCGCTTTCAGAACTATTTTTGTCCCGAGTCCAGTTTGATGAGCCGCTGACCCGCGTCGGTGCTGATATCTCCTGCCAGGACACCAACTACAGGCACTTGTTTTCAGCTAAAGAGCTCCTGTCCATCTGTCTCAGGTTAGTCGACATCATTCAGAAAACTGTCCCAATGGAAAATCTGTCACCACGTCACACAGTGGAGTCTTTCATTGGTTGACACGTCGCGTCAAGCTGCAAAAGTTCAGATTTTCTAAATCAAGCGACTTGCGCATCAAGCACGTCAAACGCTCAAATTGCGCAAATCGTTCAAATCGCTCCGCTCTAATCGCGCTAGATACGCCGCATCACTTCCCAACACTGCTTGGTGTGCGTAAAGCATAGTCTTTGCATGTTAACCTGACGCTCCTGACACTGAAATTGCGTTCAGTGTGAACGCAGCATTTTACTCACCTGACAAATACATATATTCTAAAAAAAATTACCAATATCAGCCAATACCAATTTTATTGCCAAAATATTATGCACCTCTAATTATTATTTTCAAGATTTGAACCAAACAGCTAAAATTTTTCGTTTGTGTCCCTCTTTTGAGTTTATTCCTTGTTCGTTTGGTTTTTCCCACCCTTCATCTCACACCTGTTCCTCGTACTCATCAGTGTCAGCTGTAGCACGTTTCAACTTCTATTCAGTCCTCGTTTATGGGCTCAGATTTTAGTCGAATCGAATTTGTACTTGTAAAACTGACTTTGTATTTGTACATTAAGATTTGTAACTTTTGGATTTGTAAATAGGAATGTGTCTGTGTAAAATAGATTTGTATCTGTAAAAATAAAATTTGTATC